GGGTTGGTGGACTGACTCAAATGGTAGAGTGCCTACCTAGCAAATGTGAAGCCCTGAATTCAAACTCTGGTAGCACTAAAGGAAACAAACAAACAAAGTAAGGTGGAGCAGAGCACCAGAGCATCCATGCAAACAGAATGGATGAGTGCTTTTGTTAACGTGGTGAAAGGTGGTCTCATCAGGCAGTGATGACTTACTCGTGGTGAACAGTCTGCATCAAGTATGGTCCTTTCAAAACTGATTAAGTCCTGCAGGCCTCCCCAATAGATAGGAACCAGAAGCCGACTGAGGATCAGCCAACACCCAAGTTCCTCCTGAATGTGTCTAGCTTCTTGCTCAATAGCCTTGAGTCCTTAAACCCCGCCTACCCTGAGCATCTTCTGTACAGTGGGAACAGTATAGCCCGCTGGCTTCCTGATGAAGCTAGTGTCAGGGTGAGCCCCAGACCTACAAACACCTATTTACTTGCTTTGCTCTTGTTTACTAAGCATCTTTATGGAACAGGGCACACGGTGGTAAAAAGGCATGCTCCCTGTCCTTAAGAACCATGGCAAAATCTAGAGGCATGACAGCCCAATGTCTACCTGAAGAGCTGATTCACAGAATCTGTGATTGCACCATTTAAGAGTCCAAGCACTGTGGTTCCCCCAGGGCTGCTCTGTGAAGGCAGTGGTCTCAGAACATCATACCCCCACCACAGGTCCCACTGATTGTCCACATAGTTGACACGAGCAAATGGACTCACAGACTAGTTGAAAACTACCACTACGAGACAAAACCTAGATTCCAACTCAGCTACCACCAGGCTGGGCTCCCTAAAATAATCTGTAACTGGCTGGTGATGATCAAAGGACCCAAAAAAAATAATCTCACTTCCTGTACAGCCTGCTTCCTATCACTCATTTGGACCAGTACTCATTGCACAGATGTGATGGGCTATGAAGACTGTTTTCTTCTTACTGCAGGTACTTGGTAGTTTCTCTACCTATAGAGGAAACATCTCAAAATGACTTCCTCATTAACACACTAACCTTTGCTGTGTTTACCGCAGCTTATATATCTCTTCTAGCCAGTCCCGCTCCCAAACCTCATGCTTTCCACCAAAGCAAACACAGTATAAGCTACACATTCATTTCTAATTCCCAGTGGCCTTTAATGTAAAATGAAATGGTCGGGGTTTTTTTTTTTTTTTTTTTTTTGCAGTACTTGTTTGAACTCAGGGCCTCACACTTGCTAAACAGGTGCTCTACTACTTGAACCACCCCACCAGCCCTGTTTTGTACTGGGTTTTTATTTCCTAGATAGGGTCTTGTGAACTATTTGCCTCGGGCTGACCTCAAACCACAATCTTCCTGAGTAGTTAGTATTACAGGTGTTAGCCACGAGCATCTGGCTGAAACATTAATTTTAATAAAATATTCTTATCCAATATATCAAAAGTATTACTTCAACATGTAGTCAACATAAAGCAATTACAAAAGAGGGCTTTCACAGTCATTTCTCACATGACATCTTAAGATCTGCTGCATCTTAAAGTTCAATTGAGACTAGTGACATGTCAAATGCTATCTGTGGCCACATGCTACCTTGGTGAACAGCACAGCCTTCCTGTCTAAGGATTCACAGACCTTCCTGCAGATGAGGTGACTTGCTGCAACACCTGTCCAAGGAGCAGGAGCCAGGTCAGCCTGGCACAAACCATCCATTACCAATGCAGAGACAGAGAACAATGAGGCCTTCCTGGCTCCCAAGTGTCACTTTCTTCATGCTCAATTACCTACCAGATATGAGCAATTTAGGTACGAACAGCAATTAGGGCTTAGAGGTATGGCTCAAGAGGTAAAGCACTGCCTAACAAGTGCAAAACTCAGAGTTCAAACTCCAGTGCCACCAAAAACAAAAACAAAAACATCAATTCATGTGAGCCAAGGAAAATCACTGCTCAGGGAGCAGGCTGGAAATAGAGGAATGACCATCTGACTCTTCAGGAGGCCTCATGTCCTTCCATGTCACTCACCCCCTGCTGACCTCATCCGTCCATCCATTCATCCATTCATCCATCATTGTGTAGTCTAGGTGAGCCTCAAACTTTCAATCCTCCTGCCTCAGCCTCCCAAGTGCTGGAATTATAGGCATATACCTCGATACCCAGCTAACCTGGCTTCTTTCTGCTACCAGGGTTCAACACAGAACCTAGCGTACTCTAGATGATCAAAAACCAGTCAACAAATACACCACCTTCAGACATGTTGAGGCCAAACAGAAAGCCCCACTTTAGTATCTCAGAGCCAAGCCTTGTATACGATTGATGGAGTCTTAGAAATGAATGACATCTACCCAGAAGGAAGATCTCACAGGACAGCAGCAGGAAAACTGAGAACCACACAGTACACAATACAGGAGGCTAACCCCGGGAACCTTTTATAAGGGCCCATAAATCCTCAGTACTGGGGAAGACTCTACTCTCCAGCACAGTTTACACACACACTTCACTTAATCCATGAAGGACAGTGTTTTAATTAGCATAGGTAGGTCCATGGTACTTAACAACCCTGCTGGTGGGAGGTAGCACAATAGTCTGCAGTTGGAAAGTCACAGCCCAGGGTCCCAATCCCAATTTACCTCTCATAACCAGGTGACCTTAAATAAGCCTCCTAAACTCTCTATGCCTGTTTACTGTCTGAAGGTGGAAATGGTGATACTGACTGCTACAAAGAGTCAACGAAAACCAACATGCACCACTACAGCCAAGACTCATTGAACATGACCCGAGAGCAGTTATAGAAAGACTGACCCGAAGGGCTGGAGGCATGGCTCAGCAAGGCCCTGAATTCAAAGCCCAGTACCACCAAAGGAAAAAAAAAAAAAGACACACACCAAGAAATGTTGATCTGAATATTTTAAGTAATGGTTAAAAATATACCTCCCCCTATGCCTGCTACTTTTCCCACCTAGTCAGAAGAGTAACCCTTCTGCAAAAACATTCTGAATACCTGCAGCACTAGCAGGACCCAAGTTCATCAGACCTTGAATGGAGTGATCACACAGCTTTCTCATTGTTTGGTGTCATCTAACACTGTTATTGAGGTGGGACATACAAGGAATATTACAATTTAAAACATCTGGACATGTGCACACCCAGGAAATCATGACCATATTAGGTAATGCACACATCCACTAACTGCAAAGTTTCCCGTGTCCCTGTTGTCCCTCCCTCCAAGTTGCCCCATTCCCAGGGAACCATGAATGAGCGTTCTATCACAAAATATCAGCCTACATTTTCTAGAAATTTATGTTCATGGAATCATAAAGTAACAGTCTGGCTTACTCCTTTTAGCATAATTACTTTGAAATTCACACATGTTGCTGCATGTACAAGTCTTTCATTTCTTAGGTAGAACACCCGGGAGGGTTATGGCCAAACCACAATTAGGTATGTGTTTAACATTTTAAGAAACTACCATGCTGTTTTCAAAATGGGGTGGGAGGTTCTGTTGATTCATAGTCCCAACACTCCAATCCAAAATGGAGGAAGTTCTAGCTCCTCAGAACCTAACCAATGCTTGGTCTTTTAGTTACCCTAAGAAATCTGTAGTGGATGTCAGTGTTTCAAATTGCATTTTCCTAATGTCTAATGATTTTGAACATCTATTCATCTGCTTTCTTTGTACATGAAGCACCTATTCAAGTTACTTGCATCTTTTAATTTGGATGTTTTCTTACTGAGTATTGAGAGTTTTTGCATACTCATGACAGCCATGCCGAGCACTGGTGGCTGATGTCTATAATCCTAGCTACTTGGGAAACAGAGGATTAGGCAGATCAAGGTTCAAATCCAGCCCTGGCAAATAGTTTGTGAGACCCTATCTTGAAAAAACCCAGCACAAGCCTAGCAAGCATGAGGCCATGAGTTCAAACCCTAGAACTGAGAGAGAGAGAGAGAGAGAGCGAGAGAGAGAAACCTCGAGAGAGCTCATGGACCTATTATCAGGTGTTGGTATTCCAACTAACAATTGATTTTGGGGGGTGGGGGAGTTTCATGTTTCCTAATAAAAAAAGATGGAGAAACACTGTTCTAGTCCAGAGCACAAATCACAATCTCCTGAAACCTTAAGTCTTCTGCTGAACACTGAATAGAAACTGCTTCTTTTTCTCTCTCTCTTTTTTTTTTAAGAGGCTGGCCTAACCTCTTGGGCTCAAATGGGCCTCTTGAGTAGCTGGGGCTATAGACATGTGCCAGCGCTGAATGGAAGCTTTTTAAGAAAGCATCTTAGTGAGGATCAATTTATTCTGAAAATCAAGTTTGGAATTTTGGACAAAAAAAGGGGGCTCCTGTAGTCTCAGGTACTCAGGAGACTAAGGTAGAAAGATCAACTAAGTCCAGGAAGTTGTACAGTCTGAGCAACATAACAAGACCCAATTCTTTTGGTTTGTTTGTTTATTTGTTTATTTGTTTATTTATTTATTTATTTATTTATTTATTTTGAGGGAGAGAAGAGAGGAGGGAGAAAGGCAAAACTGTGTAACAATAACAACAACAACAAAAACCTAGTTTATTAAAGAAATCCTGAGTTAGGGTGTTGCTCAGTGGTAGAGTATACACTTAGCAGGCATGAGCTTTGGATTCTACCCACAACATCCACCTCCACACACACAAGTAAGAAACTGTGAAGAAAAAATTTAAACATTGTAGTTTTTTTTTTGTTGTTTTGGTGGGGGTGGTTTGAACTCAGGGCTTGGCTTGGAACCAGAGTTTGAACTTAGGGCTTCAGGCTTGCAAAGCATGTGTTCTACCACTTGAGCCTGACTCCAGTCCATTTGCCCTGCTTATTTTGGCAGTAGGGTCTCATGAACTATTTGCCTGGACTGGTCTCAAAATGCAATCCTTCCAGTCTCAGCCTCCCAAGTAGCTAGGATTGATTACAGGTGTGAGCCATCGTGCCCAGCTTAAAAGCTGTATTTTAAAAACCGATGAGTATCAAATATATACGTGAACTTACCTTGATTCAGAAGTGCTTCCAATCTGATCTCCAACACATGTAAGTTTGTCTGTAACAACAGAAAATAGAAAAGATTATGTTTATATGGTATTCAGGTTATGACCAAAATGTACCATTTGGCTCCTCGGTGCAGAGCACTCTGTCCACATCTCTAAAGGTCACTGGCGGGCTATTCCCTAGCTCTGGGTAATCCTACATGGGGACATTTCCAACCCACACTGTTCCACCTGCTGCCTTGGCCTGCTGTCCAGGAAGCAGTCTGGAATGACCACAGAGGTCACAGAGGAGGCTCTTGACCCATCTCAACACATCAGTCAGAATGGAAATGTTCAATTATAATTTCTTCTGAAACATCTCCTTGCACTTTCCCAGAAAATAGGCTCCAAACATGTAAAGATATTTTGTAATATTCTCCCCACATGAACTGTGTGAAAAGACCACTTCTGGCCATCCCACAGGTTACCTACCACCCACTCATCAATTCAGGAACTTCTGGATCTACAAACCCGCATGCACACACACCTAGTCAGGGGTCAGGAGCCCCCCAAACACACACCAACTGTGAATTCTAAGGCATTTACTTAACAAAGTTTAACCTTGAAATGATCCTGTAAGCGCGTGCATCTCTGGTAGTAAAAGTGGCTATGGCAGGAAAACACTTGGGACAGTTCCTTGAAAAGTTAAACATGTAATTACCGTTTGACTCAACAATTCCACATTGAGACATATACCCAAAAGAACTGAAAACAAGAGCAGAGCATGGTGAGGCATGCCTATAAACCCAATGCTTCCGTAATTCCAGCACTCCAGAGGCTGGAGCAAGAGGATGGCAAGTTCACAGTCAGCCAGAGCTATATCAAAATAAGGACCCAATACAAGTACACATTATGGTCACAGAAGTCACAATTACTAGCCAGAGGCATATCAGTCAGTCACAAGGAACAAACCAGATGCTACAACATGGATGAACCTCGTAAACACTGTATTCAGTAAGGCAGCCAGACACAAAATGCTGCATTACAGTTACATGACTGCATTTATGAGCTATCCAAAGGAGGCAAACGGTGCTTGCCAGGGGGCTGTGGATACCGGGTTTCCTTTGTGGGCGATGCAAATGTAGAATCAAGTAGAGGAGGAGGTTGCACAGCATTGTGAACATACTAAATTCTACTGAATTGTTCTCTATTAAATGGTTTAATTTTATACTATGTGAACTTCACCCCAAAAAAGAAAAGGTGGGTGTGGAAGTAGAAGTTGTGGAACACAGAAGTTAAACAGTAAATGCAAACTATCTCTGCCTCAAGAGACCTCGCTGCAAGGAAAGTCCCACCAGTGCATGTCTCAGGCATTAACTTCCCTTGCTCTGAACCAGGTTTTCAACCTGGCACCACTGATGTGATTTTAGGTGAGGTTATTCTTGGTTGGGGGGTTGTCCGTTGCTGTTAGGTGGCTCAACAGTGGCCTGGCCTCTGTCCTCCAGGTGTCAGCAGCAGCTGTGCCCAGCTGCAACCACTACCCGGTGTTCCCAGGAGGCAATACTGGCCTAGGTGAGACTTTTTCCTCTAAAGCGAGAGTAATAAATTATTCCTCTGTAAATATAGACACTTCCAGGCATTTTTTCACAGTAAGAGATAGGTATGAAAAGAAAAATGGGGGGAGATGGGATGAGAAAGAGTAATAGAGGGGCACTGAATTTGATCAAATGTATTATGTGGTGTGTGCATAAAGAAAAAAAAAAACAAGCTGGGTACAGGACTTCAAGCCTGTAATCCTAGTTCCCTGGGAGGCTAAGATTGGGAGGATTGTGGTTTGAGGCCAGCCAGGGTAAAATAGTTTGCGAGCCCCCATCTCCAAAATAACCAGAGCAAAATGAGCTGGAGGTGTGGCTCAAGTGGAGTTCCTACTTTGTAAGCACAAAGCTCTGAGTTCAAACTTTGGTCCTGCCCTTCCCCCAAAAAAGTAAACAAATAGAAGGGAAAAAAAAGAAAAACTAGTCACAAAAATAGATCCTGGTGTGCTCTATTTGAAATGCCTAGATTGCCTTGTGGCTGAAGTCATAAAGCAGAGTTCAAGTTCCCTCTTCTTTCAGAAGAAAGTAAGTGACGACATGTGCATTGTGCTACCTCCGGCTTTTATATCAAGGTTTTGGCAGAGTAAGTATACTGCTTGCTGTCCCACCAGAGATCCTCTGTGAACCTCTGAGCCTAGATTCCAGACAGCACTCTCAACTCATTCTGGCTAAAAAGGAGAGTCCTTCCACTGACTACCCAGTACACAGCATCAATAGCTGAGAACAATATTACTGGTCCCACAATAAGGTGAGCCTAAGCCAGGAGTACCATCCTTAAAGAAAACTGGGGACTTAATAAAAGCAAAGCCTACTAGATACTGAAGTATTATGGCCAGAGCCTATGGCCAGGCACCCCAGGCAGGTGGGTGGGAGAAGGACCACTGCCAGCTAGGAAGTATGCAACAAGAGTGCGCTAAGGACTAGCTTCTGCTGGCCTGCTGTGGGTGTGCAAATACTGGCTGGGACTCTTTCATCTTTTTAAAAAGCAATCCATTGGGAAACTAGGATAAGAAAAGAGATCAATTTCAAGAAAAAGCTTTAAAGGGCAGGGGAGCTCAGTGGAACAGTACATGCTGAGCATGCAGAAGGCTCTGAGTTCCAACCCATCACCAAAAAATAAAAAAATTTATGGAACCACTTTTAGTCAAAATTTAAAATAGTTAAAATTCAAAACATCAATGAGAGTAAATGTAAATTTACCCTCAATTTTATGAGCAAATCCAGCACTCAGAAAACTTTAAATATTCCAAATTTTATCACATGGACAACAGAGCTATTTTAGATCTGTGGCAGCCTGCTCTGAAGTGTGGGCTCTGTCTTCTGTGGACAAGAAGCCTATGCACACCACACTGTGCAAGGCTTCCAGAACAGGAGAGAGAACCAGTGCAGCTCTCACTTCCTTTGCTTCCTTCCTAACACTGTTTAGGGCTGCCTCTGGCGACCTCTTATTTATTTATTTATTTATTTATTTATTTATTTATTTATTTATTTATTTATTTATTTATTTATTTGTGTGTGTGTGTGTGTGTGTGTGTGTGTGTGTGTGTGTGTGTGTGTGTGTGTGTGTTGTGTGTGTGGAACTGGGATTTGAGCAAAGTGGACACTCTACTGCTTGAGCCACATCTCCAGTCCTTTTTGCTCTGGTTATTTTAGAGATATGGTTCTATGAACTATTTGCCTGAGCCAGCCTCAAACTTCAAACCTCCTGATCTCACCCTCCGAAGTAGCTAGAATTACAGGAGTGATCCCCCAGTTTATCTCTCAAATGCTAATGTTTGAAGTCAGGTTTTATTGATCAAATCCTCTGAACACCTATTCATTCACAAAATACTTCTAAGCTGGGCACCAAGTGACTCACGCCTGTAATCCTAGCTACTCAGGAGGCAGAGATCAGGAGGATCACGGCTTGAAGCCAGCCCCCAGCAAATAGTTCAAGACCCTCCCTCAAAAATATCCAACACAAATAGGGCTGGCAGAGTGGCTAAAGTGATAGAAAGCCTGCTTAGCAAGCATGAAATCCTGAGTTCAAATTCCAGTACCACCAGAAAAAGAAATGCCTTTTGAATACCAATAATGTAAGAAAGTAGGCAAACGTGAGGCCTTGAGTTCAAACCCTCGTATCATACCACCCCACCTCCTCCCCTCAAAAAAATCAAGAAGGGCTGGTCTTGTGGGGGGCTCTGATTTGGAGGAAGCCTTGGAAATACATGCAATGGCCAAGAGAGAACACAGTGTAGGGGCACGAGGGACTGAATTAGAAAATGTACCACAGACCTGGCTAATTGTATGTTCTCTAGAGATTAGAGTAAAATGGAGAACCAGTAAGTTTCATCAGACCTGCATCCTGGTGCCCAGCAGCCAGGAAAAGTAACATAAGAAGCCATTTTAGTGGACATTCAACATGGGCACCTGTGGACACCTTCACACGGCCTTCAGAAATTCAACTGCAAGGTAGTCCATTTTCATGGTTGTATTTGGTTAGATTTCCAAAGAAGGCATTGCTATGTTAAAGATTGGGTGCCTTAGGCTGGGTGAGGTGGGACATGCATGTAATCCCAGCACTGAGGCAGTAGCATTACAAGTTCAAGGCCAGCCTGGGCTATCGCAACACCTTGTCTCAAAAACAACAAAAAAATATACATACAAAAAACCCCCAGAAGACTGGGAACCTTTTTCCAAGGTTCTTGAAAAAAAATCAATTGAGCCTATATTTTGCCTCTGTAGAGCTAATTTGGCAATGTCAACTATTAGTGTGACTAACTTCTTTGTACGTGTACATTTTAGCCTGAGACTGTAAGTATCAAATACTGTATTTGATGGTATCAATCTTTAATATTTTTCATAATCTAGAAACTGAATCCTCTTGAGCATTTTTGGGGATTGGTACTGGGATTTGAACTCAGGGCCTCCTGCTTGCTAGGCAGGCACTCTACCACTTGAGCATGCCCCAGCCCCTTTTTAGAATTTGTTAAAAGCTGCATGAAATTTCAAATCAAGCCAGGTGCCAGTGCTCACACCTGAGATCACAGCTACTCAGGAGGCAGAGATCAGGAGGATTGTGGTTCAGGGTCAGCCCGGGAAAAGAATTCACAAGACCCTATCTTGAAAAAACTCATCAAAAAAAAAAAAGGGCTGTGGAGTGACTCAACGTGTAAGGCCCTGAGTTCAAACCCCAGTACCAAAAAAGAAAAAAAAAGATTTTGAAATCAAGCTAGGTGCAGGTGGCTCAAGCCTACAATCCTAGCCATTTAAGACTGAAAACAGGAGGATCACAGTTCGAGGCCAGCACAAGCAAAATAACCAGAGCAAAGTGGACTGGAGGTGTGGCTCAAGCAGTATAGTGCCTGTTTTGCAAGCATGAGGCTCTGAGTTCAAACGCCAGACCCACCAAAAAAAAAAAATTCAAATCAAGTTGGGTATGATGGTGTAGGACTTTAATCCCCGCTCTTGCAGGAGGATTATGAGTTTGAGGCCAGTCT